AGGAAATAATTTGAGTGAAAAAATGAGTTGTGAAGATGAATCTGTCTGCGATGACAGAAGCATTAGTCAAGATCCCGGATGGCAGAAAGACGTTAGTGATGTATTAACTTCTATTTTAAAAGACGGTAGTACCTGCGCACCCGAATGGGGTGGTGATACAGACCAAACATGTTTAGATCTTCCCCGTTTAGATACGGATAAAGAGAAGTTAACAACTTATAAAATTAACCCACCTAATCCTGAAGCTGACGAGACGACTAATATCGATGACTGTGCAGATGATTCGGGTAGTGATGCTACTATAACAGATATAACTGAAAATATGGAAGGACTTAAAGAATTAGAATCTACTACAACTATACAAGAAGTTCCTTCTAATTCACCGAAATCACCAATTTTAGACGTATGTGATGTTACAAATGCCGAATGGGCAGAGGAAGGATATCAAGAGAAGTCGAAGGTCAGAAAAGTGTCTTCATTATCAGTTTACGCAGACGTTGAAGATGGAATAATTAAGAACGTATCTTGTAAGAGATTCAAGAGAAGATGTAAGAAGATTGTAGACGATAGTGAATCATATTCTTATAGACCCGTTAAGTATGGAAGACGTAAGAAGTCTTTCGGTTATACAGGAGACGAAACTGATGATGTTATTGAAAATGAAGTTAAGGATCTTGTAGAAGATATGGTTTTCAAAGCCTCATACAATGTCATCAGGTTGAAAAATTTGTCGAATTGGTCCGAAGAAAAGGAAATCGTTGGAGGACTTCTTAAGGAATTTTGTGAATGTAACGGTTACGATTACGATGATTACGATAATCCAGTTTGTATTCTAGACTTCGATAGTCACATCGTTAAAGAATCTGATATAATCAATATACCCAGTCAAAGAAAATGCTACAAAAGAAAATTTCCACAAGAATTAGAAGGAATGTTTAGGAAAAGGAGAAAGAGGAAATTGACACGTGGGGAGGTTGTTAAAAAGTTCTTCACTCGATCAGCAGCTCGCAGACTTAAGTATAAAACAACTAAAAATGGTGACACTATTGTTGTTGAAGAAAGTGATTCTAACACAGATTCTGAAATAGTAGAAAAATCCAAAGATGAAATTGTAAAGGAAATTCCTAGCAAAACAAATGAATCACCATCAACATCTGCAGCAACAGTAGCAACTAGTATTACTACAATAACAACTGACACTACTGTTTCTACTGTTACCACCGCTACCAAAGAACAAAAATTGAATATTTTATCAAAGAAAAGTACAACGAATGACATTGAAAGTAAAGAAGCAGTAAAATCTGAAGATAAATCAAAAAGTCAACAGATGTAAGTTCTTTTTAAATTTATTTAAATTTAATGTAGTTTTTTAAGTAAGCACTTAATTAACAGATGTTCATAGTCAGAAGAATTAGATTTAATTGCAATGAAATTTTAAATTAAAAAATATCATTTTAATTTTCTTATTTAAAAATTCCTCTAAGAACAGGTCAAGACCTTAAAGAGATCGTAAATATATATAAATTATCGAGTTAATCACGTAGTGTTTTTGAATAATTTATGTCAATGTAAGATTAATTGAGTTAAATTGAAATTATTCTCACGTTTTATTTTTTAGTTTAATTTAATTTTTCTTGAGTTATAATTCTCAATTTTCAAAAATTTGGTTTCTTTTATTCTCAACAGATGGCGCAACGTGTTATTCCTATTAAACATTCGTGTTTTTTACATCTATAAAGTGTATTATAGAAAAACAAAATTCATACTTTTCACTATCAAAATTGATTTTCTTTTTATATTTTTAGCATTTTAGAAAGAAAATCGCCAGTAAATATAACACAAGAAACTGAAGAAAATACCGTGGACCACAAAGTTAAACCAAAGGACAATGACGATTTGGAAATAAAAAAGGCTTATGGAATCTCAAAATTCCGTCACAAGCATCATATTTTGCAAAGTTTAAAGAAGAATAAAGTAACTATAGACACAGATGCACCCTTAGATTTACGCATAAAAGATGGTGGATCAGGTAAGTGGCACACATATTGTTTTCTATCTTTAAACAATGGTTAACGATTGTTCTGAGTTGTGTTTATGTATTTTTCAGACAATTCGTCTACAGGAAAACTGAAAACTCCCATACAAATGGTCCATCCTCAAGTAAATACATCATTAATGCCAAAGAAAGTGTGGTGTGCAAGAAGAAATCTCGATTGCTTTACAAATGGTGAAAATTTTTCTCTAGTCAACAATAAAGTTACTACAGATGTGAATAAAATTTCACCAATAAGCACTCCGAAGCCAGAAGTGATCTCTTCAGATACGAAGAAGGCTCAAGAATCTGAAGCAGAGTCGATTCTTCGTAGCTTGCTCCTGGAAGCGTCTGATGCGGCCGTGACAGAAATATCTTCAGAAGCAAAAAGAAACGCAGAAGCTAGTCTAAATGTTCCTAAAGTTCTTAGTGTAAGTGATAAAGATCATACAAAAACTCCCGATCATAGGGATACCATAAATCGGATGAAAGAAGTGTTAAGTCACGCCACACCAAGGTTAAAGTCATCACCAGCCCCACCAGTTGACATTGCAATGAAGAAACCGAACGAAAATGAAAGTATTTCGGAAGCAGACAAATTCCAAGATCCTCTTCAAATTAAAGAAGAAATAAAAAAGTTAAAAAATGAAATCATCCATCTTGAAATGATAGCAGAACAGAAGGAAAAGGAGAGAGTAGCTATCATCTGTTTTAAGAAGTGTAAAGAGGAGATACTAAAACAAATAGAAAATAGTCAGTTTAACACTTTACTTCAGAAAGATGGCTGTGGTGACAAAGATTCAAAAACTCAACCAGTTGTGCATAGTAAACTTTCACTTCACGCTCTGTATAATTATGCAAAAAATAAAATGATTAATGCTCACAGACAAAACAGCATTTACCACGCAAATCATAGAGAAACATGTATGGTGAGACCGATTGTATCTCATGATAACAGAAAGAGCCCTTTAGGTAATGAATCCTTACCTAGTGTAGAGGCGCTTGTTGCTAAAGCATCAGAAAATTACGGAGTGAGTTTTGATCATTTATCAGATGACAAAAATGGTTCATTAAATAGGCAGTCATTAGAACATAACAGACGTCTTAGTGAACTGCAACATTCAGCTTATCAGTGCTGTACAGATCCCTTGTGGAGAAATGCAACTCTCTATGGCTTTGCTCCATCATCCGGATATTGTAATTCATTTCATACACCACTCGCACTCTCTACAAAATTATCTATAGATCACGAACAGGACTCTCACTTGAAGGGATGGAAATACGGTGCAATATCTGATTACAGCAATAAAGAGAGAAATAACGATAAGAAAGATGATCGTATCAAAACCGAAATGAGTAGAGAAAACAAGGTTCTTTATCATCCAACTGCTACTGTTCCACCCGTGACCTGGTCCGAGAGAACATACTGCAAACCAAACGGTACAATCACAACAAAAACATCAGAGAGCTCTTCTAGATTAACTCCCATAACTCCAACAACTTCACCCTATATTGGAAGTGCCCTTGGAAGGTATGAAAGCATGGACCTTTCACAATCATTTTATTCTTCACCCAATTTCCCTCTATCAATGTCGTGTTGGAATGGATATCCCGCACCGCAATTACCAAGGCATAGTAATGATACAGAATCATCATCCAAAGTTCGAAATGAGGTAAAAATTCAACATAGTTTTAACAAATATTAAATTATGTACTGTTTATTAATAATAATATTTTTAATATTAGAATCAACGCTGGATGGATCGGCCTTGTCCAACTTATCATTCACTTTATATCCAACCTCGTGGTAATTCAACTTCTCCATGCTAGTGATGTCCCAACGTTAGAAATAAGGAAGACACTTTGAAGAAGAAGAAGAAGAATTATATTTACCAGTAAATCTAAAATAAAATTATGATCAATTTCGCAATGTTTCCTTTGAATTTTATATAAAGAACAAGCATTTACAACACATTAAACATATTTTTATTTCAAAATTTTGCCTTAAATTCCACACCTGGATACATGATTAATGGAAGTATGCAAAGTGAGGCTTGAGTAAGGAGGATTAAATGTTTAAGTTTCAGAAAACTCAGAAAGTTTAAAAGATATTTATGTACAAAAGAGTACAGTGAGTATACAAGAGATAATGTTTTCTCTTGTATTCATTTTAACTGATTCGACTTTAATATATTAATCTTCATGCTTAATAAATTAAATTTCATTTATTTATGAAGTTTCACACTCCTAATTGTTTAAAATGTAGAAAACAATTTTAAAATATATTCATTTTAACATGTCTAAACTGAAAAAAAAAAACGATCTAAAAACAGTTTTAAATTGATTAACATTACTGATTTTATTTTTTTGAATCTCTAAGAAGCAGCTTTTGTGACATTTTTTTTTTTTTGCTGTTAAAAACATTAAGTTTTTAATTATAAATTGCTTATTTGTCATTCTTAATTGCTAACAATTTTTAAAATATAAAGAAATTTGAGAATGCTAATAATTATATTCATGATTTAACGAAGATTTTTCTGAAATTTACACCAACAATTGAAAGTTCCATTAACTTTACATGAAGAAGAGCTTTGAATAATCGTTTTAAATTTGAAATCTCNCAGAACTAAAAAAAAATCATTTTCATTTTATATTAACCTTTTAAAAATTAATAAAATTAAAGAAAAAAAATAGTGTATAAGATGAAGAAAGAGAACGAAAGAAGGAAAGAAAAAAAAATCAGATCATGTTTTTGTAAATTTGCCATATTTCCCAACAGAGGCTATAAAACAGAATAGGTTAATTGCTATTTTGGTTCTGTCACTGACCATTAGCAATCGACCAACTGCTACATCCGTTGTCGAGTGACATCCAATCCGATGTCGTCATCAATCATTGCTGACATGGTCGGTGACGTCACGGCAGCAGGAGGAGTTAGCTGTGTGACGTCATGCTCGACAAACTGTCCGCTGGGGGCGCATCGTGCAGGAGGTCCGATGTGCCAGTAGAGCACGGAAAGTCGTTGAGAAGTGAAGTGTTGTGTCGGTGTGTGTGCCTTTTCATATAACGTATACAGTATACGCGCCGGCTACGAATTGTGTGTTAGGCTTAACAACATATCTTGTGATACTCTGGATATTGATTTTACTCCTATATTGGATTATTCGTCACGTTAAACTAGGAAATTACTTTCGGCCAACTTTACTGGTAAGTTTTTTATTTGTTTTCTTTCTGTTGATTTTTTTTTGTTTTTAAAACTTTAAGTTTAACTTTCTATATAAAAAGATATACAGTTTTTTCCCCCTCCTCTATATACTGTCCCAAAATATATTACTTTTATGTATATTTTAATGTAACACTATGAGAACCGTTGATGACATTTCGAGGCGGAAGCAAAGTGATAGACACACATACACACACACACATAGATGTATGAAGCATTAATGAAAAGGATATCGTCACTTTCACATCGAACTGACCTTGAAAGAACTGACCTGATTGGTTCAATTCTTTTGTTCTTTGACCGCATTTAACAAATCTAGCTTTAGATAACTAATAGTCCTTTGCTCAGTGAAATGGAAATGAGAGGGTATTGTACCCTTTATAGTTTTATAATTTCTAAATAATATATTTAATGTACTTTAATCTTAAAAAAATTATAATTAAAACTGGGGTATAAATATATATATATAATAGATGTATGTATATACATGTCTCTCCTTCACTGTTTTGTTTCTAGATTTTGTTTACTATATTCGAAACATATGAGGTGTTTCCCTTTATGTTACGATTTCAAACGTGATGCTGCCATCTATCGAACGTAAAGATAATCATAAAATTTTACATTACCATAAATCTGTTTTGTAATTTATTTTAAATACCATTTAATCCGGAAATTTATTAATGTTATTTATTTAAAACTGTAACTTGTATCTGAATTAAATACAACAGACACTTAAAAAAACACAGGAAAAAAAATTGTAAGTCAACTTTTGACTTGCAAATTTATAAGAAAGTATTATTAAAAAATTGAATTAAAAAAAAAAAAAACGTGTATTTTATTTTAATTTCTTAAGAAAGTAGAATTTAATAATATATAAAATAAATAAATTTTTAATATAAATATTGATCGGAATTAAATTTTTACATTCAGAAAAGTAACATAAAAAATTTATTTAAAAGGATTTTAAATTATTTATTTTCTTCTGCGATTACCAATCTGAAAGTTTAAGCTTTCGGTTTATATTGATTTTTTTTTCTTTCCTTCTCCTCCCCCCTTTCGCATTTAATTTTTTAACAACAAATTTTATCATCATTTATCGTTTCGATAATTTAAGTTTAAATTTATATATAAACAGTGTTTTAATTGGTTCTTTTTTGTTTTTTTTTTCTTTTCAATATCCAATCTGCAGTACGGTTACTTATTCAATTATTACGTTGACCTCATATATCAGTGACGCTTTATTAGTGATGTCACCGGTTTGATGGTAGAACGTCATTAACTGTTTTGATTATGTCATCAATTTTACTGTTCCGATAGTCTTAATAAACGTTTTATTTTATTGTTTTTCACACGTGATAGGCACTACTCATTATTAATTTTTTTTTGTTTTGATAGCTTATGAATACGGTTAACTAAATTTTGGGACATGAATTAATTTATTTAAAAATTTTTATTATTATTATTTTTTTACGTTAACTCCTTTAAAACTGTCAAATTTAAGGTAGTTTTTAAAGTAGAAAACATAATATGAGACTCATTTAAAGTAGATTTTAAAATACTTTTCGATAAAAAATAATCATCAAATTGATTTTTTTTTGTTTTTCTTTTACTTTGTATTACTAACATTGTTTGAAAATTTTATCAATATCTACCATTAGTTTAAAAAATAAAATAAAATGCGGTTAACTGACTATCGGGCCACCTCGTAGGGTATATTTATTTTTCATCTTAAACAACAATTTTTATTACTTTCTTGCATTTAAGATGATTTTATAAATTGTAAGAAGCCCAATATACATATTTAAGCCTTTAAAAAAAATATATATATATATATATATATATATATATATTAAAACTAAATTATTTTACAATAGAAAACAAAATGACAGATTAAATCGGCCATGTTTTGTTTGACACGTGATACGCACGTTTCGATGACTTCATCAATTTCGTTGTTAACTCGATTATTGTTGCGTCATAGATAATTGTGTAATATTTTATGATGTTTCTTTTTTTTTTCTTTTTACGTTTTCAGAAAAAAAAGGAATTTTATTCATAAAAATAAATTAAATTGATTCGAAAAATCGATATGAAAAATATCATGTAGTAGTTTAATGTATTAAATTGCTGCTACGTTTTAGTGTGTGTGTGTAGCCCAGGTGAACGAAACACCTGGCATTCAAGGTCATTGAGAAAAATAAACTTTTAACTGAAAGTTAACAATGATAAAATAGTTATATTTAAAAAAGTATTATATATATGCAAATTTCCAGCTTTATCAATTTACCTTACTGTCTTGCATGTACTTCCCTCTGTTATAAAGTCGTATAAAGTGTTTTTATATACAATTAATATGATTTATTTATATTATAAAAATATAAATAATATTTTATTATTATTATTAATTAAGAGGTAAAAATTTACTTCGAAATTTTATACATGAAATTTTTATAACATATTTTTCTAGTATTTTACCCAAAAAATTAAAAAAAAAATCATTTTTTATAATATAAAATCATGATTATTCCTTTAATTAATCAAAAATTAAAAGTAATTAATTATTAAATTGTTATTAATTATTACTCCTTAATTGTTTTTGATCTTCATCGACATAAATCATCATTAATAAATTCTTTCATTTATTAAATGGACAAATTTGTCAGTATAAAGATTTTATATAATTAATTAAAAAAGTAATGTTAACATTTTTAGATAAAGAGAAAATATTTTTCTTCTTATTCTTTAAATGATTAATTAATTTCGCTTTCGTATTATTTAAATTATTAAATATATTTTTCTTAAATAAATTAATAATTTATAACGTTTTATAATAGTAAATTTAACATATTAATTAATTAATTAATTAATTTAATAAATTTCTGTTATAAATTTTTATATAGAGGGTAATCCAAAAGTCAGTTAACTAACTCGTCTTGTGTAAGTAAGTGTACGCAAGTAAAATATGGTTAATTGATTTTTGGTCCATTTTATTTATAAATGGTTACTTTTATATAGTTAGAAAAGGATTAAGAAACCCGAAATTTAAATTTTTAACCCTTCCAAATATCAAATTTAAGATAGTTTTGAATTGTAAAACACAATTTTGAGGTTGTTTAAAGTAATTTTTCGGTAAATATATGTTAAAAAAACGTAGTTAACAATGAACGTTGATATATCGTGTATGGATTTCATGACGACATTTTTGAAATTGTCACACTACGAAAGTAAATGAAGCGTGAAATATTCCTGTGTGTTGGATTAACCTTAAAAAAATGCATTTATCACGCTATTTTTGTTTATTATGCAATGTGAAGTATGTGCACGAATAAGAATTTTCTTTATCTTTTAATGTGATAAATTAATGTTTGCCATTGCTGCAAACCCGTTAGTGAATGCCTACATTATCACAATTCTCGCATCGATTTGTATTAGTTAAAACTTATTTTATCTGTTTTTAATCATAAAAAAACAAACCGAATTTCCGAAAAAGAAATTAATTTAGCTCTTTACACGTTAAAAAAAGAAACAAAAAAAATTGATTTTTTTTTCTACGCTTTAAGATTGTCATCGGATGTTTGAGTGACAAACTTGACAAATTGCGTATCAGAAAATCAATACCAAAAGAAATTATTTTGATAGTTAACTCGCGTAGGCTATCTTTTAATTAATACATGTGTATATAACGTTGATAATATTTATTTTATGAATTTATTCAATACGAATCCAAGTTCATTCACTGCATGTTTCTATCACTTCACCATATTGATCTCGTCGTAACTGTAAACATCTTCGCGAGTTTATAGCGACGATAATTTATTTTATAGCTGAAATATTTATATATATAAATTTAATAAATCTGTTTATTAAAGTCGCTATTTTATTTACAAACCCGTAATGCTTCAATTATCATGATTAACACGTTTCAAGGACGTCATCAATTTATACATATAATTAACAGATAATGGATTATTAGTAATTATTCTAGAATTAAAACCTTTAAAATTTTTTCATTAACAATTAGAAGTAATTATTATATAAATATTCTAATAAATGAAATTAAATTTTCAGGTTTCATATTGGTGCTACCCATTAAATGTTACCAAAAATGTGTTGGATACGTTCATTTAATTGTAAAGAAAACATGAAGAAGTAGCAATTCCAATTAGGGGACCAGAATCAAAGAAGGTATCATTGATGAATAATTTGTGGATTATAATTAGGAGATGACAGGAAGAAGCTTAAGAAGTGAACCCAAGCGCCTATCAGATAAATACGATATTCTATTAACTCCAGTAGTCGTGTCATTAAGGAAATTACGCGAAGGGACCATAGGAAATAATTTGAGTGAAAAAATGAGTTGTGAAGATGAATCTGTCTGCGATGACAGAAGCATTAGTCAAGATCCCGGATGGCAGAAAGACGTTAGTGATGTATTAACTTCTATTTTAAAAGACGGTAGTACCTGCGCACCCGAATGGGGTGGTGATACAGACCAAACATGTTTAGATCTTCCCCGTTTAGATACGGATAAAGAGAAGTTAACAACTTATAAAATTAACCCACCTAATCCTGAAGCTGACGAGACGACTAATATCGATGACTGTGCAGATGATTCGGGTAGTGATGCTACTATAACAGATATAACTGAAAATATGGAAGGACTTAAAGAATTAGAATCTACTACAACTATACAAGAAGTTCCTTCTAATTCACCGAAATCACCAATTTTAGACGTATGTGATGTTACAAATGCCGAATGGGCAGAGGAAGGATATCAAGAGAAGTCGAAGGTCAGAAAAGTGTCTTCATTATCAGTTTACGCAGACGTTGAAGATGGAATAATTAAGAACGTATCTTGTAAGAGATTCAAGAGAAGATGTAAGAAGATTGTAGACGATAGTGAATCATATTCTTATAGACCCGTTAAGTATGGAAGACGTAAGAAGTCTTTCGGTTATACAGGAGACGAAACTGATGATGTTATTGAAAATGAAGTTAAGGATCTTGTAGAAGATATGGTTTTCAAAGCCTCATACAATGTCATCAGGTTGAAAAATTTGTCGAATTGGTCCGAAGAAAAGGAAATCGTTGGAGGACTTCTTAAGGAATTTTGTGAATGTAACGGTTACGATTACGATGATTACGATAATCCAGTTTGTATTCTAGACTTCGATAGTCACATCGTTAAAGAATCTGATATAATCAATATACCCAGTCAAAGAAAATGCTACAAAAGAAAATTTCCACAAGAATTAGAAGGAATGTTTAGGAAAAGGAGAAAGAGGAAATTGACACGTGGGGAGGTTGTTAAAAAGTTCTTCACTCGATCAGCAGCTCGCAGACTTAAGTATAAAACAACTAAAAATGGTGACACTATTGTTGTTGAAGAAAGTGATTCTAACACAGATTCTGAAATAGTAGAAAAATCCAAAGATGAAATTGTAAAGGAAATTCCTAGCAAAACAAATGAATCACCATCAACATCTGCAGCAACTGTAGCAACTAGTATTACTACAATAACAACTGACACTACTGTTTCTACTGTTACCACCGCTACCAAAGAACAAAAATTGAATATTTTATCAAAGAAAAGTACAACGAATGACATTGAAAGTAAAGAAGCAGTAAAATCTGAAGATAAATCAAAAAGTCAACAGATGTAAGTTCTTTTTAAATTTATTTAAATTTAATGTAGTTTTTTAAGTAAGCACTTAATTAACAGATGTTCATAGTCAGAAGAATTAGATTTAATTGCAATGAAATTTTAAATTAAAAAATATCATTTTAATTTTCTTATTTAAAAATTCCTCTAAGAACAGGTCAAGACCTTAAAGAGATCGTAAATATATATAAATTATCGAGTTAATCACGTAGTGTTTTTGAATAATTTATGTCAATGTAAGATTAATTGAGTTAAATTGAAATTATTCTCACGTTTTATTTTTTAGTTTAATTTAATTTTTCTTGAGTTATAATTCTCAATTTTCAAAAATTTGGTTTCTTTTATTCTCAACAGATGGCGCAACGTGTTATTCCTATTAAACATTCGTGTTTTTTACATCTATAAAGTGTATTATAGAAAAACAAAATTCATACTTTTCACTATCAAAATTGATTTTCTTTTTATATTTTTAGCATTTTAGAAAGAAAATCGCCAGTAAATATAACACAAGAAACTGAAGAAAATACCGTGGACCACAAAGTTAAACCAAAGGACAATGACGATTTGGAAATAAAAAAGGCTTATGGAATCTCAAAATTCCGTCACAAGCATCATATTTTGCAAAGTTTAAAGAAGAATAAAGTAACTATAGACACAGATGCACCCTTAGATTTACGCATAAAAGATGGTGGATCAGGTAAGTGGCACACATATTGTTTTCTATCTTTAAACAATGGTTAACGATTGTTCTGAGTTGTGTTTATGTATTTTTCAGACAATTCGTCTACAGGAAAACTGAAAACTCCCATACAAATGGTCCATCCTCAAGTAAATACATCATTAATGCCAAAGAAAGTGTGGTGTGCAAGAAGAAATCTCGATTGCTTTACAAATGGTGAAAATTTTTCTCTAGTCAACAATAAAGTTACTACAGATGTGAATAAAATTTCACCAATAAGCACTCCGAAGCCAGAAGTGATCTCTTCAGATACGAAGAAGGCTCAAGAATCTGAAGCAGAGTCGATTCTTCGTAGCTTGCTCCTGGAAGCGTCTGATGCGGCCGTGACAGAAATATCTTCAGAAGCAAAAAGAAACGCAGAAGCTAGTCTAAATGTTCCTAAAGTTCTTAGTGTAAGTGATAAAGATCATACAAAAACTCCCGATCATAGGGATACCATAAATCGGATGAAAGAAGTGTTAAGTCACGCCACACCAAGGTTAAAGTCATCACCAGCCCCACCAGTTGACATTGCAATGAAGAAACCGAACGAAAATGAAAGTATTTCGGAAGCAGACAAATTCCAAGATCCTCTTCAAATTAAAGAAGAAATAAAAAAGTTAAAAAATGAAATCATCCATCTTGAAATGATAGCAGAACAGAAGGAAAAGGAGAGAGTAGCTATCATCTGTTTTAAGAAGTGTAAAGAGGAGATACTAAAACAAATAGAAAATAGTCAGTTTAACACTTTACTTCAGAAAGATGGCTGTGGTGACAAAGATTCAAAAACTCAACCAGTTGTGCATAGTAAACTTTCACTTCACGCTCTGTATAATTATGCAAAAAATAAAATGATTAATGCTCACAGACAAAACAGCATTTACCACGCAAATCATAGAGAAACATGTATGGTGAGACCGATTGTATCTCATGATAACAGAAAGAGCCCTTTAGGTAATGAATCCTTACCTAGTGTAGAGGCGCTTGTTGCTAAAGCATCAGAAAATTACGGAGTGAGTTTTGATCATTTATCAGATGACAAAAATGGTTCATTAAATAGGCAGTCATTAGAACATAACAGACGTCTTAGTGAACTGCAACATTCAGCTTATCAGTGCTGTACAGATCCCTTGTGGAGAAATGCAACTCTCTATGGCTTTGCTCCATCATCCGGATATTGTAATTCATTTCATACACCACTCGCACTCTCTACAAAATTATCTATAGATCACGAACAGGACTCTCACTTGAAGGGATGGAAATACGGTGCAATATCTGATTACAGCAATAAAGAGAGAAATAACGATAAGAAAGATGATCGTATCAAAACCGAAATGAGTAGAGAAAACAAGGTTCTTTATCATCCAACTGCTACTGTTCCACCCGTGACCTGGTCCGAGAGAACATACTGCAAACCAAACGGTACAATCACAACAAAAACATCAGAGAGCTCTTCTAGATTAACTCCCATAACTCCAACAACTTCACCCTATATTGGAAGTGCCCTTGGAAGGTATGAAAGCATGGACCTTTCACAATCATTTTATTCTTCACCCAATTTCCCTCTATCAATGTCGTGTTGGAATGGATATCCCGCACCGCAATTACCAAGGCATAGTAATGATACAGAATCATCATCCAAAGTTCGAAATGAGGTAAAAATTCAACATAGTTTTAACAAATATTAAATTATGTACTGTTTATTAATAATAATATTTTTAATATTAGAATCAACGCTGGATGGATCGGCCTTGTCCAACTTATCATTCACTTTATATCCAACCTCGTGGTAATTCAACTTCTCCATGCTAGTGATGTCCCAACGTTAGAAATAAGGAAGACACTTTGAAGAAGAAGAAGAAGAATTATATTTACCAGTAAATCTAAAATAAAATTATGATCAATTTCGCAATGTTTCCTTTGAATTTTATATAAAGAACAAGCATTTACAACACATTAAACATATTTTTATTTCAAAATTTTGCCTTAAATTCCACACCTGGATACATGATTAATGGAAGTATGCAAAGTGAGGCTTGAGTAAGGAGGATTAAATGTTTAAGTTTCAGAAAACTCAGAAAGTTTAAAAGATATTTATGTACAAAAGAGTACAGTGAGTATACAAGAGATAATGTTTTCTCTTGTATTCATTTTAACTGATTCGACTTTAATATATTAATCTTTATGCTTAATAAATTAAATTTCATTTATTTATGAAGTTTCACACTCCTAATTGTTTAAAATGTAGAAAACAATTTTAAAATATATTCATTTTAACATGTCTAAACTGAAAAAAAAAAACGATCTAAAAACAGTTTTAAATTGATTAACATTACTGATTTTATTTTTTTGAATCTCTAAGAAGCAGCTTTTGTGACATTTTTTTTTTTTTGCTGTTAAAAACATTAAGTTTTTAATTATAAATTGCTTATTTGTCATTCTTAATTGCTAACAATTTTTAAAATATAAAGAAATTTGAGAATGCTAATAATTATATTCATGATTTAACGAAGATTTTTCTGAAATTTACACCAACAATTGAAAGTTCCATTAACTTTACATGAAGAAGAGCTTTGAATAATCGTTTTAAATTTGAAATCTCGATGGAAAAATGTTAAAATATTAATAAATTATTCATAATCTACTATAGAAATTATTATTTTCGATATACGGGAAAAGTCCTTTGAAATGTATGAGAATTGAATGTACAACTCTTGGACAAGTGAGAAAATGGCTGTAAAGTACAAGTAATATACAGTCAAAGACCTTTAATGTAACTTCATGTGGTAAAGTTCCTTGACATTTAAAATTCATTACGTTCCTGTGAGAGAAACATGGAAATTATATATCGAACCGTAAGTGTTACTAAATCTAAAAATTTTGCAATTCAAGAAAATAACTTATAATAAACGATTCATTAACAGTTTTGCTCATTTCTCTTTAAATAAATACGATTAAAATTAAACAGAATATGAGCTAATTCAAATGTAATTGTTTAGTTATGGCAACGTAACACTTGGGCGATCTGTCTGGGGGAATGCCTTTCAGGAGTCTTTTTTTTAAGGGAAACTGGCCCCTAATTAGGCGTTACTGACATGGAGAAAACCCGGAAAACTCCACATGGTCAGCCCTTCCGAGCGAACTCCCAGTGTTCAGGGTACGAAGACCGCTCGGCCACTGGTGGGCAATCAAATGTAATTACAACGAGCAATTTAAAAATTGCATGGTTGCTATTTTTAATGTATTTAATTTAAAATATATGCTCTCCACTTCAAATTAGTAGTGTTTTGTCCCTGTACAGTACATCATACTTTTCCTGTTAGCAATGCAGTCGTGCTGTCCATCTATCAAACTCCTTTCAGGAAAAAATTTTTGAATTGAAATAATGTGACTTTCAGTTTGAAACAGAAGTTCATATATAGTTAATCGGGATCTCCTGCCAGCAAGATTTCCATTCCTCATCTTGAATTTATTCTATTTAACTTCATTCTCGAGATTAAGGAAGGACAGACAAACACGAATGACAGTGGACATTTATAGTTCTACAATATGTTCGAATTGCATCACAATTAAATTAACCTGAAGAATTAGTATTGTTGGTGGTAACTTATGACGAATATATTTAATAATGTTTCACTAAAAGTTTATATGGAAATATCAATAGGTGAAAATAAAGGTATTTTGTTTTGACTTTTGACTAAGATCCCTTCTCTTTGCTAATCAGAAACTACACCAGTATAAGTCCTATTAATAAATAAGGTCCAAGTAGACAATACACAGAAATGTAAAACAGTAAGGACGTAGATGTAAGAAGAATATCAACAGTACAGTTAATTAAGTAAAACTAATGCCCTTCTGAATGATCTGTCTAGAATATTTCGGGTGTCATCCTTCACCCGGCAGTTTCTATTGTGGGCCTGGCAGAACAAAGAGTAAGAAATGAAAAAAAAACCCATGAGTAGAACAAATTACACTTTCAGAATTATCAGTGTTCCTTTAATGGTTTTACAATTCATTATAAAAGATGAGTAATTATACAGTATTTCCTTATATACAACTAAGGAATACAGCTGATAGGAATTCTTTACCAGTCATTATTTTAGAAAATGTCAAACTATTGTACTGTATATGGAATTTTACGGAATCGTCTTCATTTCGGTAACTAATTCTAAACAATGCAGGTTTATAGTACTTATTAAAATATATTGCTTTACTTATGTGATAGTGAAATAATACAGTGTGTTGTAATTGTGTTTGAAATGTCAATGTGTTTATATTCTCTTAAACTTACAGGCAACGAATACACTCAGAGTATTCATTTTGTGTGATGTTATTGCTAAACAATTGGCATTTGTAGAAATTACAGCTGTTAAACCATGCGGAGGATGATTCAGAATTGAATGGGCAGTAACACAGATTGAGTCAGACAGGCTCTTCTCTTCATCGATATTGTTTCGGATAAAGCATACTTTTACCCGAGAGGTAAGTTCAATGGTCAAAATTGCGCTATTGGAGCGGCACAAACTCACACTAAATTAGTGTGGGTTCGTACCACAGAGTAGGGTTACTGGCGAGAATTTATGGGCTGGTGGGATGTGGGCAGTCACAGAATAATTCATTTCCTTGTAATTTAGAACCATTTGCATAGTAGAATACTTCGACAATATTGACCCCTCGTTTGTTTTAGTGAATCACCTGGTCATTCTGAATTTGTACATGGCCCATGCATATTTGAATCTGAAAGAAATCTATAATGAATTTATAGGAAGAAGCCCATCTAACACGACATTCTCTTTAATCAACACTTATTATTCTTTTGAACATTAGTAGTGGTTTTATAGTTTTAATATTCTAGCTTAGTAAAATAAAGGTGCCCAGATTACGGGTACATTTTAATTTGTGAATGTTATCTTTACGGTACCACATTTTAAATTACGATTTAAAATTGTTCTAATTGTCACTAATATTTTGATGTTAGATAATTAAGTTTCATCTAAATGTTTTTATGAGACAATGTAAATACAGTATACTCTTGATTATCCGTATTTCTGCCGGTGATTTTCCCAGTTAATCGGGAGCACACTGTATTAATACCAGGACTAATTGATTTATACTGTATTTAATTTTCTTTCAAACTTTTGCAGTCACTTTAGTCCCACTTTGAGTCTAACCAAAATATTTAAAAAGTTGGGGCCAATGGGTGGAATTATGGTCTGGTGTAGCCTTTGGAAATATCGTGTTACTAAATCAATCTTTATTTAAGAGGATCTGATACCAGAGATGTTGAATTTGATACTTGAAGAAATTGGAAAACATTGTCATGATATTAGTCATAAATGAGGGTGGTGATTATTTCTCGTGGTACTTCCAACACTATGGAGCGCTCCTCATTATGGTACTGTCATTAGACTTTGATTAGACTAGATCATAGATGGATCGTGGGTTGATCAAATGGCACAGCAATGGCCAGACCTCTGTTAGATTTCTTTTCATAATGACATTTGAAAACCATCGTTTATCAACGAAATAAGGCAAATGTGATTTCATATCACCAAACGTGTTGTTACATGTCCGATATGAGTGGGAAGAAAGTTTCTACATGTTTATAACATGTAACAATGACCGTATCAAACGTATTATGTAATTTTGGTACATATTACCTATATATGGAAATTTCCTCGTGTGCTAATGTTTGTTACACTTGAAATAAAACAGTACCACCATATCTGAAAATAAATAAGTGGATAAGGTTCTAGGCCATTGGTGGTCAACTTGTTTTCGGACTACCCCTCATAATTATATGTTGTACAATAGTGCTATATTAGTTATTAATAACCAAATTGTCAACAGCGATACAATAGATAAACTACTCTTTTTATATACTGTACCAAGTATAAAAAGAATAATTTAAAATGGTTTCGAAAGTTTCATTTGAATTTAGACATGTAATAACTGGTAACGATTTGTTTTATTTCTTTAGTGCGTTTTTAATATAAATCATTTAATGTACACAGTTTTTTGTTTCTGTTATCATAAGCATCCAGCTACCATTGTTTTATCAAAAATTCTTATGATGGGTGTAATTGTGAATGTTCTATTATACCTTCACTGTTCCGTTTTGAATTTGTTTATCTTCCGTTAGTTATGAACTGTTGAGCATTATTTGTTTGGCTGAACTATACTTTTGTATCTTGTTGGGCTGCTTGTAGACCTAGAAATTCCCACTGTCGTCTATCTGTCCATCCTTAATCCCGAGAATACATGAACCTGGGTTCAAATCTTTTACTTTCCATTGTTATGTATACACAACAGCTGGGAAGGTAAGATTTTCTCCAGCAATATATTAAATAATAATTAAAAGATATACAACAATACCAAATTCATAAAATACAGATAAAATTAGAGCAGTGACAAACCGGGTATTAAATAAAGTAGATAAAGCGAGTGAACTACTTTGTATGAAGTTTTTCCTTTACTGCATTATCAATGTTCCATCTCAGTTGTATTGTGAACTTAAGTATACTTATTCTTTGAATTTTACATTCTTTAACTTTGTTATTATTCCGCAAATGATTCAATTTTTGATAAATGTTTCCTACTATATCAAGGCATTTCTGAGACAGTTTTACATTATTTCATTTTATAAGGCATTTATTCAAGAAAATCAGTTTTCAAACTATGTGTACAATAGTTTTTAAATACAATATAATTTTATAAGTTACTTTCCTCTACATACATTACGTTCAAACTTAATCATACTTAATATAATAATCCACGACGATATACAAAAATTTTTGATTTTATTCGCTAGAAATTCATATATCTGTGAGGTTCTGGACAGGTCCGAACCCTTACTAAAGTTCGCGTTTAAAATAATTTTTTGAAAGGAAAAAAGAAGCTGGAAATA